AAAAAGACTTCAAACAATTATTGTTACTTCTCCATTGAAGGTTATGAGCAGACCAACCTTTACTGGCTTCCTTAATTATTACATGTACTTGCTCTGAAAACATAGCTTTTACAATTGTTTAAATTAACAGATGTTGTTCTATGTACAATGAATACATTTTAAATAATAAACCTTACTGTATTAATAAAAAATTGTATTTGACAACATGAGAATGATTCTGATGCCCAGTGGTGATGTTGAAACAAACCCAGGTCCTGGTAATATACTAAGACCTGATTAACAAAGAAGTCATGTACATCAAGGTTCACTCAGATTTATGAATGCAGTTTCTTGAGCAAGTATACATGTATGACAAATAGTTTTGTTGCACTTGTGTACTCTGAGATTCTGAACATGGGTCAGTGGAAGTTTTTAGTTGTCAGTACAAAACTAGATTATGGGAAATCATTTTATGATGAGTTGTACCCACATAGAGTACATATTCATTCACCTGTTTGCAGATGTTCCTTGTACTACTTTATAATCAAATAACGGGGACTGTGACATTTCATGTCTTGTTACTGCTTAAATTAAATTTAATAACCACTTTCAGTTATGTTTTTATTTGTACCTTGCAAACATCTGTCAACTCTGCTTGAATGAATAGTGTGTGTATATATGCCCTTCATTTTTAGGCATCCTTTGTATTTGCATGTTTATTACGTTTACAGCATGGCATGATTTTCCTAAATTTCATTAATATGTATTTTGGTTTAGTTATCGCCTTGCATCGCGTACTAAAGCCGCTCATTGGGATGTGGATTGGGAGAATGAAGAGGATTCCAAACTGCTCAGGGGTATATATGAATATGGTCTTGGAAGTTGGGAAGCGATTAAAATGGATCCAGAATTCAATCTTCACGATAAGGCAAGTCATTTTCATTATAGGTGCTTTACGTGTAATGTTAGGAGACGGGAAGTTAGTAATTGGTGAACTCTTTCCATGTCGATGTCATCATTGTTGTTAATGAGGATCATCATAATATTGAACTCGGACATAATGTTGAGCTTTGGTTATCTGATTCTGATATGTTTGCAGATCTTACTGCCGGATCCCGAGAAGAAACCACAAGCTAAACAACTGCAGACTAGGGCTGAATACTTGGTTAAAGTGCTCCGGAAAGAGGCACAGGCAAAGAAGGATGGGCGAGAGGTATGGGATGGTGTAAATATTATGTTGTACATGTACAGTGAAACTTGTCTGAATGGAACATCAATGTGGCTGACAAAATCAAGTTTACAGAGGTGTAGAGTTTTTAGAGTTCTTTGATATTTATTGCATTATATATGCCTACATAGAAAAGTCAGTGGAAAAGCGTCTTAAAACTTCATTTTACACAGGTTTCATTTTAGAAAAGTTTTACTCGGCATGTGCATCTTGAGCAATCAGTCATTTGAATCTCAGGATTTATATGTGTGTATAACATGTTGACTATCAAACAAAATATACAGTGTCGTCTGAGCTTGAAGTTTCAACTAAATGAATTTTTTAGCTCCGCTGTCGACTTTGTCGAGCGGAGCTTATCATATGAGTGATTGTCCGTCGTCGTCCGTGTCAATGTTTTACTTTTTCGACTTCTTCTTGAAAACTACAAGCCTGAATGCTTTGATACTTGGTGTATATGTACCTTGGGTAGACCTCTCTTAGGTTTGTTCATTTCATGTTGATATCTTCAATTCTCTAATTTTGGTGAATATTTTTGTCATTTTTGGTAAAAAGTGATATTTTCGACTTCTTGTTAAAAACCGCAAATGCAAATGCTTTGATAATACATATATAGGTACTACATGTGGACCTCTCTCAGATTTGTTCATTTTGTAATGATATCTTTAATTCTCTAATTTTGGTGAATATTTTTGTCATTTTTGGTAAAAAGTGATATTTTCGACTTCTTGTTAAAAACCGCAAGTCCTATTGCTTTGATATTACATATATAGGTACTACATGTGGACCTCTCTCAGATTTGTTTATTAGTCCCCGTTCGGACGCAGTCCGA